AGATTTGTCAAATAAAGGCGATTTGCTTTTAAGGCACTCCTATACACTATACCGACAAGAGTTGCTTTCGTAGATCTTACAGAGAAGGACTTGGTGAAAGATCGGTCATTGTGGTGGATGAGGCCGTGTTGAAGGGATTGGTTTGTTTGTTTGGTTTAAGTTTTACGGCGCGCTAGTACAAAGAGGCCATTTAGCGCCATACAAAGTGTTATATCCTTCATTTTCTACAAGTGGTAATAAGGTTTTGTATCGGCCTGCGATACCAAACCAAATTGCTAACGGTAAAATGATAAAAATGGTAACGGTGATAACAAATAAAGTTCCGTGTTGAAGGGAATAATGTCACTTCTTTTTTATAGTCGATGACATGCAGAGCGTAGATCCAAGGGTAAAAGCTCGTCAGATGTCCAATATAATGTATTTAAACACGACGTTTGCACATAACGTTTTGGCCAAGGATGAAATTCCATTCTTGTTTTTTTAAACACAAAAGTCAATTATGACCTTTAATCAGATTCCATGGTTACGTCCTAGAGTTTTTCACACCATTTATCTTCTTGAGCTATTTGTGAAGCAGTAGTTTCCATGAGTCCAATAATTAGAGGTGCCATTGTGTCTTTTAGTATGGGTGCTAACAACAAATCCTCCGCGTTGAAACAAGTTCATTGAGACAAAGATTGTGTCATGGTTAATGTTCCTCTCTTGAGTATAAAAGATGTCGTCTGGGTTTTTCTGGCAATTTTCTGGGTCTTTTCTTGTTCTGGGGACTTTTCACTTTCACGAGTTGTGACCTGGTATTGACTGCTCATATTTACAATGTGTGAGACAGACCAAATATATCTGAGGTTTGTATAGAATGTGTTAAGTCCACGTTGATGTTTATACAACAGGTACTTCATCTTGGAACCAGTTGTCAAAAATATGGGTACAAAATCGCAAAAAAATGGGGCTAGTGGGTTTTCAAATCCACTAGTATATATGCTTGAGTGGTTTGAATGGCATCATCGTATTCATGAGACGGCCAAGGAGTTCTTAACGGGCTTTTAAACAAAACTACGTAATGAGCATTTTGACTGATGGTGAGATGGGATTTACTTTCTTTAAACAAATTTTGGTTTGATGTAAAGGACACTGGCATTACAATCATACTAATTATGTGGAAATCAAATATATTTTATTCTTAGTCTTCCCCTAACATGTAGCCATAGATCACCCGTTGTGTTTGGTTGGGGTTAGACACAATCCCGTCGTCCTCGCCAGAAACGAATTCACTAAGGTACACACCAGACAACTCTCCAAATTTAATGGATACAGTTTTCGTAATAAGTATTGATAATCCTTGCACGGCAATTATTGTATAACTAATGATAAAAGTATTGACATGGTAGCAAGTTTCAAATGCCTCTTTTTGTTGGAGATAATAAGCGTAATTCTAGCACAGAACTGATCATACTTCGTCAACGTATAAAATATTTTCATCACTAGTCCACACACCACACATAATTTTCATTTATAGACAAAATTTGATCGCGTAAAAGATTTCGACAATACTCTTATGTTTTCGTCTAGAATTCGATGCATTATGGAAACTATGTATGTAGCATCAATAGAATCCAAAGTCTTCTGACCCTTGTTTAGGTGATCAATGTCGGACAATTGGAACACTCAAATGAAACTGTCCTGTTAGATCATTCAGATACCAGTGGTTCCAGCATTGGTGACGGAACGGGTGCAATTGTTCTTTGCGTTACACGTCTATTTTGACAAAATCAAGGTAAATGCTTTATATCAACTGTACAGGAGCACCACTAATGTTCTCTTGCAAAGTATTTATGAAGACATTACTGAGGTCGTCCCACTTAAAGGTAGGTAGTAACAGTGCGGATACTATCTTGTTCCAGGTGAAGCGGAATCCATTTTCTCCCAATTTGCTTTATTATCTTTGCCTAACTAGTTTTTCGTGGTAATGGTGAGGTACAACGGGCTGTTACAAGTCAGTGGGAGGCACGATTTTACATTTAATGAATAGTTCTATCTTCGATATCATCAAAGTCAATCTGTCCCGTCAGCAGCTGAGAGTGTCCTGCTATCAAATGGAAATATTTGCTCACGTAAGGATACGGTGAACACACGCCCATGTATTTGATTTCTTCTTTCTCCTCGTAGGTGTGGTACAGCAAACAGGTAGGATTTGTACCACCTACATAAAAACTATCCCGTGGGTTGACAAGGACCACCAGTTTGTAACTTTCCACGATACATTTAAACTCGGAATCTGTTTGCAAACAGTTATCGTACTCGTGTTCTCACATTTCCTCAACTTTGTATCCTTGCTATTCTAACTTTCAGCGCTGGTGACAAATATCCTGATATAAGTCTTCCAAGGTACGATGTAATTATTAATTTCAGTTCTTCGTTAAGGGTAGCGAATTGTACATCCGTGTAATAAGTACCAGATATCCAAAAAATATATTCCGAATGTCATTTCACCTTTCTTCGATTCTGGCATTTTGATTCATTACAAGTAATGTAGTCAGCGTAGGGCTTTGACCGAGTATTAACATTTGACAAAATTAGCCGTTTGATGGCGTTTGCTCTGCACTAACGAACACCCTTTGGTGATAGTGTTGGATTTTCAAATGATCGCTCGCTCCGTGCACCGTGAAAAAGCAGCATGAAAAAGTTTCGAAAATTTCCACAGCATCTCCGTAAAATGATTACGTCAGAACTACAATACTTGAAGAGTTATCCCTCCTTGAAAATCGAAAGGTCCGCAGCATGAGTGTTCCACCAAGAGTAGAAAGCGTCACATTCCGCGGTGAGCACTTTGTCGGGGTAGTAGTAGTGAGCATCAGACAATTGTGACAGAACGGCGTGTTAATTGGGATCAGTATTGAAAAAGGCGACAAATAGCCTTTGGCCATTTCTGCTATTCCAAACTTTTGAGGCATTTGACTCAATAACATGGCCAAGCAACTCATAGAAGTATTAAACTGCATTTATACCATATGCATGGGGACCATTTAGCTCACTAAAAGGTGACTTTATGGTGTTTGGTACATTGTTCCGTATAGTATTTCAGAAGGTACTATCCATTTCCCGAGAAACTGAATCATCACGGTGGCATAGCGATGGCAATCTCTGTAACGTTCGATGTCCTCTAGGCTCCACGTCTCGTCGATACTGTCTAAGATCCAGTCGGGTAATGGCAAAAGATAGGGTTTTAGTCAAACTTTTTGCACGCTCGGTGGGACACGGAAAAATTAAGAATGGGAATGCTTGTCTCGCGCTTTCATTCAAAATTGAAAAAGATATAATTCTCATTGTTCTTGTTGTCATTATCTTCCTTCTCTTGTTGATGTTGGTATTTTTAATGTAACATTCGTGCTCCAAGACCACAATTTCCTGGACATAGGTGTACCTTGGCACTATTAGTAGGGTATGACTTGTCCACAAGCAGAATAACATTTCAGGAGTTGAAAAGCTCTTTACTACTGTCAACCTTGCGCCTTGAGATGTTGTTGGTAACAGGCAGTGCTGACAAAAGTGTGATAACCAGACAAGCAATTCATGTTCGTTGTCCTTCATCATGGCAGGGTTTAGAGGCCAAACATCCTGGGCATTTCGATCCACAATGCTTCCTTGGCTCATAATTATTATACTAATAATCAAATATCTCACAGTAACTATTATATCCCAGTAATTTGGTGATGTTGGTAATGATATGGAAATGTTTATTGTAATGATATGCTTGAATGTATATTCCGTCTTTGAAATGTTTGCCTCATAGCAACAGGGGACAATGCACTTCTTGACGATGCACTTTCAAGATGTAACATTCAGTCATGGTGATTCTTTAGATAGCCCTGTTTGCCATAACAGGAGTTTTGCTTCTCTTCATTGTTTAGCTATGTCCGATTGTCGAATAGCTTTCCAAGTTCTTTTCCATTCTGCCGTGTCGTTATTGTCGGCAAACATTCGTCCCACCGCGATAGCACGTCCTAAACACATCTTGCCTTGAGTGTTGTTAATTTGGACGAAGCTGCGTTTGATAATGCAAAGGTCATCCACCAATAACACCTTTTTGCCTTGTCCAGTCCCTTTGGGAAGAACAATGTAAGCCATGTACAGCGTCGCCTTTCCATCAGTGAAGTGATATGTCATTGCACTGCTGAACAGGTTTAATCTTGTCGATGACTTTGTCCTGCTAAATTCGATTTAGGTGAGGAAACTTTTTGGCTTCACATAGTCGTGTCAGTGTGGTTAACAAAGAATCCCACACATTGGCGATGAACACTTCTGCTTTCTCAAACGGTAATTCGGACATGAAATCTTTAAACCTCAACAGGATCGTGTATGACGTGGTTTTAAATTTTCTAGAGGAGTTTATATCCGTCTATCGAATGTGGTAGTAGTATTAAGGTGTTGTTCTGATTTTTCGATTAAATTAATTATGGCACATTTAGACTAGTCTCTTTTTAAGAGAGTTGCGTGGCCCTGAAAAGGACCGTTGAGTGCTTATCTTTAAAAAAAAACAACAACGACTCAGAAACATGAAATAATGATCTTCAGCTGCCTTATCCCAATTCCACGGACAAAACCTATTTTTGGATCTGATCCTATCTATGATCTGGTAGAGATCATTAGTTTTGCTATTTAAGGCGTAGTAGGTGTGTCGACTGGGCTGGAACGTTTGGCTCGGAAAGGAATTTTTCTCTTGTGTTGTTTTAAAGAAGTCCGATATATTTGCTTCAGATTTTGTGTGTGTGTGATTCAGATTTTTAACGTAGCTTTAACAATTTTTCAGACATCTCTATGAAGTCTGCAGTGACATTTATAGCGATGTATCACACTGGAGGATCATGCCGCAGATATGTGGCATGATGTCGTATCCAGTCACATTATCCTGACTGCAGGCCAACCAGTCCTAACACTCATCTGTTAATGCTGTGTGCAAAGCGAGGCAGCTGTTAGTACCATTTTTTTAAAAGTCTTTGGTATGACTCAGCCTTGGTTTGAACCCGCGACCTCCCTCATCCGAGGCGGGCGCTTTAACCACTAGGCCAAACGAACGGTTTATTTGTTTCAGGCTCCTTCACTCTGCCACAGTATCTAAGAGTACTCTCACCGTTTCACTTTTACCCTCCTCCTTCTCTCCTATACATAGGTTCTTCTCTGATTCTTATGCTTCCTGTCGTTTTCTTCATGCCTCTTCTTCTTGCTGTTGTTGTTGATTAAGTTTTGATCAGCTTCTTTCTACTGTTACAAAAATATTTCCAGTTCTCCTTTCTGTTTCTGTTTAAATACTAGACCTACGGTAAAATGGAGAATGTGGTGAAGATGCTGAAACCGGAACAAATTTTTGTGAAGATGTAAGAAAATTATTTAAATCCCAACTAAACTCGTTCTCTTAGAGTGTGTTTGCTTTGCTAGCCGCTGATATGCTATCTCTTTTTGTCCCCTTGGTCGTTGTACCAAAGTTCATTGTTTTCTAAGTTTCGGTCATGTTCTAACTCTGTCGCCGTGGTTCAACGGTCACAGTCACTAGCGCAAATATATAGGTAATGTGACATGACAGGCAGCTCACTCTGACTGAATTGTGTAACGTGATCCACGCAATCTATGTTAACGGAATGGTGTCAACAAAAACCCTAAAGACCCTTTTTGGGCCACTCCATTGCCTCGAAAAGATATCGATTCTCTCATGCCTTAAAATATTTTCGTCGATTTTTGTGGATATTTTTAGTTCATAAATATACGTATGTATAAAATGTATATATCTCTAACCCTGTCTCTAACCACATCTCTATGTCCATGTCTCTAATTGTCCCAAAAGTAGCGCCTATTCAGGTAAGCCCCTTGCCACATTGTTCTGTTTGATTGAGGTCAGCCAATAGCAACATTGTTGCAAGTGTCCGTTACCATGACGTCACCCTTCTCAAATTTACATTGACCTTAGACAGGCCCAATTCATTGGCGCCATACATTCACTGTGTTGAATTCCCGTTAACCCTATAGTCGCCGACACATGTTAAAGTCCTATTGACAGTATAATGCAAATGACCATATGTAACACTAAGACAATAGACGCTATATCGCTTAGATTCACTACTTATATACATATAGCAATATCGAACATATGTTTCGTAAAGTTAGCCAAAGGGAATGAATAATTCATGTGAATAATTATTAGCTTAATTTATATTTAGATCTGTTAGGAGTGTACACTTTGAAACCCACGCAATAATCCTACACAGTTTTGTTTGCTTTCAATAACTTTTGTATTTCATTACTAATTCGTTATTGATGATAAATAATGTTATCTTGAAATACATTGACTTAGATATTAGTGTACTGCCTCTAATCATACCAGTTAGTATCAGGCATGCCCGAATTCAAAGATTGTGAACCGTAGATAACCATATTGTTTTGGCAAATAAGGGAGGTTAAATATCTCTATTGTAATGCCCTTAATACAAGGGTGTTGATTGGCGTATAGTAAGTGAAAAAGGTGGCTGGAGAACACATGAATTAATATTCAATCACGACACAACAATGTGTTTAAAAAGTAAGGCTAGAGAGAGGTCAAAGGTTTTACAGACTTTATTATAAAAATAAATCCATTAGGAACATGATATATGAAAATTTTTAGAAATTGGAGCCTTCCATTTCGAAGATGTCCTATGAATTAATAAATAAATCCGTGCTATAAATGAACCCATTCAATTTAGCCATTCTACGAAAAATTCAATTTATGTGATGATTTTATTGCACAAATTGTTACAAATCTGTAGTTATAAACTATGTAACAGAAAGAAACAAATCCAACATGTTTTTTTGTAAAACAATTATCAACTCAATTAGCAAAGTTTTGTCAGGAAAAGTAAGATAGGCTTACGTTATTATGAATTAAATCCAAACAAATCATAAAATGTTCTACTTCAACTATTGTTCATATATTCCATGCACACTACACTCTTGATATCTTATAATATATTTGTATACCGCTGTGCAAAGTGTAACTAAAATCTTTAGATAAAAGAATTGTCAACCGGTCTAAAAGACTTATATGTCTAACATGTTGATTGTAGATGATACAATTGCATACCGGTCAACAAAGATTAACTATCTAACATCTTGACTATATATGATCATTAAAATTTATAGTAATGAATAAAAGGTACACATTATATAGAATCAATAATGTTACAAGCGTTAAAAACATATTCAGAATAAGTCCGTTAATCCATTTAGACAATTCTAGTTCATTCTCGTCGATACATTGCAAACTATGCACGGATGATGTCGTAATATTGTTCAAATATGAAAATATTGTTTGCGGCTGAAATTATATATCATCATTTGACGACACACAAGCAGCGACTGCAAGAACACGTGAACAAGTACGTTCACAACACTCGATTGAGAACGTCTAAAAACGTACGAGCAACGATAAACGTTGGTTAATTTTCATTTGAGAGCGTTTACAAGTTCCTTAGTAAACATCTTGAGACCAAATGTCATTTTTCATTAATTAAATTTAACACTGTATTGTTAAACTGTGACTGGGAGTCTACTTGCTGGGAGCGATATCAGGCAGAATTAATATTATGTTGATAGTAACATGGCTTTATTACCAAGCAGTTTCTCTTATTGTCCGTTTGAATTTGTGTGATAGGTGAGCCAAAATAGAATTATTATTTACATGGAGGGAATATATATATATATATATATATATATATATATATATATATATATATATATATATATATATATATATATATATGCCCGTTTGATCTTTATGCTTTACTACTTAAATAATTGTCATGTAAAAATTTTAATCTGAATTTTGCAAATGTTTATTCGCGTTTTGGAGCTTCTAGAATTTATGTTGAATATAATTCACAACAAAATACACAATAAACTGATAAGAAATAACAAAATACAAAATTAAATCGCATTTATGTGGCCTTAACTTTCCCTCGCAGTGATACGCTGCATGTGAGAAGGGGTTTAATGGCATTTCCTTTACCGTTGCAGATCCAGGTGAAAGTCATAATAATGGTAAGTGTTTTATCCATTTAAAGGGAATATTTATATTTTAAACTAAGGACACAAAGCATGGCTTAAAACATATCACTTTTAAACATGTTTTGTTGGTGCTAAATATGAATGTCCTGTTATTTCGTGTTTTATGTCAATAATTTAACAATTTTATTTATGTTAGTTGCCATCTTAAATATGATTTAGTTGTTCTGCTTCACATGAAAAACCCCAAACAAAACATTATTCCTCGCGGCATCTACAAAAATGTTAAGCAAAACACAAACAAATAAATCATACTCTTTAATTGGTCACATTATAACGCACATTAGAAATTATCAATTAGTGTTACAATCAAGGCGAATAGACCAGAATAAGCATGAAATGCATATTTCTTCATACAGGAATCATATCACTGAATCTTGCTTTAAATTTCTATCCGATTCAATCTGAGCTTAAAAAAATAATTAACGTACTTTCCTGAATTTGATTCAGTAAATTAAGGAGGAAGGAAAAATCACGTGTCATGACGCCTAGGACAAGCTCAACAGCAAGCAAATTCTAAATGGCATCAAATACCACAACTTAGGTATTTTAAGGATTTGTGTGAGTTTGAGCACAATAATACATGATGTTTGTCAATGGCCGTGATATATTTGCATTCAAAAGAAGAATAATGGCTTTGAATATTTGATAATTTTACTAATCATTCATATCATTAAAAGATAATTTTCTGAAACTTTAGAATCGCATTGCATAAACTAAGTGTGTCATCACATCGATTAGAAAACCAAATCTGATACATGCGATAGATCACATAAGACTGCCAGATAACACAAAATATGTAATAGGACCATTTTTCTTGAATTTCTACTTATCTCGATGTAGGCTAGAACGTATAGTTATGACGTATTGGAGAAAACCTAAAATAATTATGTGTGTCACTTTTATATTGAATTATATTGTATGTCTTACTTGATATTTAAATTGTTTCGTTTTTGAATTTTCTGGGCATAATTAATGCTTTACTTCCGTTAACTGCCTTAGAATACAACATGAAAATAAAGAAACACACAAGGGGTTTAATTACTAAAAAAGTCAAACAAGGTCTGTGCGAGTTTTGTTTGAAGTCTATTTTCCTAGCTTACGATGTTCTCAGGGTATCTATCATCGCCAAGGGATATTAAAATAGCAAATACCATCTGGATGTTCAGATCATACAATGTCTACACACTTAATTTAATTTCATATCATTTCTTGTTTCGCATTTGAGTAACCCATCAGTAAGCTTTTCCGAGCACAAGATTAGTACTTCGCGCCTTACACGACAAAAAATGACGCAAACACCTAATACAAATAAAACTTCCTTTCTGAAATTACTAACAACTTATATATTGAAACACAAATAAAATCCCACTGTTAAGAAATTTGATAGGGTCCAGTTTACGAAACTAATCCACACCTCGCAAAAGTCTCGTCTAATTGAAGATAATTGTCAGGTTTATAAAGTATATTCCCAACACCAAGTCCACATGATCAATAAATAGAGTTAAAAGTGGCTGCGACGTCTGAGAAATTGTATCTAATGACAATTACGTAAACTATATTTCGGTTTATAAAGCTACACAGAAGAGAGCCTTTGTGTAGTATGCTTAATTGAAAATTAAACGAATAAAATAACAGATATTACTGTAATTTATCACCTGAAAGTTAATCTGTTGCATGTTACGTCAAACAAACAGCATGCAATTTTCATGCTGTGCATACTCTTGCTAAATGTGACACTGGTAGATAAGGATTACTGATTATGTTGTCGCTAACGGGGTATAATATGGAAACACATCGCAATAATAATAATAATAATAATAATAATAATAATAATAATAATAATAATAATAATAATAATAATAATAATAATGATGATGATGATGATGATGATGATGATGATGATGATGATGATGATGATGATGATGATGATGATGATGATGATGATGATGTAGGTACTGCTAAATATTCAATGGCATCA